AGTGTATAAAATTCACAGAACCCTGAATTTATCGGTGTTTCAAATTCTTGACATTCTAGAAATGACATTTTTGAAATCCTAGGGAACTTCTAGGAACTTATTTCCGCATACAGAATTTTTTTTTGAAAACATTTAAGAGGTAGAACATTATTTAGGGATTTTATTTAATATCTCTAGACTACTTATCATTTCCGCCTTAAATTGGTGACGAACGATAGTTGGTAACGCTTATCGGAAAAAGCAATCGGGGATTTCTGGACGCTAAAGCTGAGAATGAGGAGGGGGGGAGGATAAAAGCGCGGGATAATTGAGAGCGAGTGCTCCAATTATTCGGTCATCGAATAAAATGTCGGCTGGCTGCTTTTTAATTCGATATAGTAACGCGATTTCTGAAGTCTCGAGGCGCGTTAAAGTCCTGTCCGATTTCAGCCGCGTGTTGCATTACCAGCTAGTCAATTACATTATATTTTTTCGAGCGGCCTTTGAAGTTTAACCATCTATGTATGTAGTATTAAAAAACCTGAGAACTGAACCAGGTAAAGTATCAATAAATGGCCTCCGAGTATAATTCTGTAAATTGCTCCAAATTTTAATGAGAAAATTAACATTATCGTAGCATCCATGGGTCATTGCGAGAAAGTGAATTCTCAAGCAATCTTTGAAATTTAACTAGATGCAAATGGAAACTCTGGGTTGAATCAAGTTGTCTATCAAGAAAGGGTCTCCAGTTATTATTCTATGGACCTCTTATGATTCTTTAAAAAGAATCGTTTTTCACACAGCCTTCAAAGGAGAAGCATTATGAGAAAATAGATTTTTATTAAAATTGTACCGGATATAAGAGTGGGATTGCAGTGGAAACGTACACACCAGAAGTTGTATTTGAATAAACCTTTTAAAATCTTAGGAAATGGAGGGAAATAGTGGAAGGAAGCCATCGTGAGACGGTAAAGTCAGCAATTAACAGGAAACAAGATGAACCCTTTGGCTCTATCATCGTAGCAAGAACGATTCTAGGAAGAAAAGCGACTACAAAGGAGAGGCAGGATGAAGGTATCGCTGATTTATCGAGTCTGAAAGCGTTTCTTTATAAAGGCCGTATAGAAAAATCACGAGACTCTGAAAGCCTGACCTGTATCTATTGGTATCAAAGACGAAGACGCAAAATCGTAATACTCGTCGCGAAAGAATTTATCATCCTCGAACAACGAGATTTCTAAGAAGATGAATCCTTTCTCAAGAGATCAAGGGTTAATAACCTTAGCAAACCTTATTAAACTGGATGGATTCCATCAACAAATAAGAACAATTTTATGTCTTAATATAATTAAAGTGATTTTATACTTCGTTTCTAGATAAGAGAAATGGTATTTTAATCTAATCTAACCTAACTTAATTTGGTTAATTTAGGTTAGGATCTAGCGAGTATTTCCTAACCTATTTGTCCTTCAATGTTGGCTTGCTGTAGTATTTAGACTCGAATAAGTAATTTAATTAGCATCTTAATTTAGTAGGAAAAATAGTAATTTTTTGTGAGGTCATAAGAATTAGTATCATTCTATTGTTTGCACACCTGTTATACACACAGAGTATACTTATAAAATAATTCTTAATAACGTGATTTTAACGTACAATAATGATTTCGAAGCGAATATAAATTTTAATGTAAATATAAGTATAAATTCTAATGTTAATGTACTAATAATATAAAATACCATAACTTTGATTTACTCTCCGTATAAATTGAGAAGAAATATGAATATTTTAAAAACAATCTCCATATCCGTCGGAACTTATAATTACACGAATCGGATTCATGTAGATTCTCTCACACTCAGAGCTCCAAACAGGTCTGAAACCATTGAAAACCAGGAACAAAGAGAGCCTAGCTGTCGGAAACTCTCTTAGAAGTTCCCTCATCGAAGTCCATAATTTGTTCCGAATGAAAAGCGTGTTCGAGATGGGACGTGTTAATTGCACAAAATGGCTTATCGCAATTTGCATAGCTCTCGGCGAAGAATGTCGTGGAAAAAGGAATAATCAGCGTTCACACTTACTCCAGGATTGGGTTCAATTACTTAAAAGGAGTCGAGCTTATCTGCTGGAATTTAATACGTGCAGCTTTTTCACCGCCGTGGAAAATAATCTTTTAAGGGGAATTACCTCGACCATCTTAATCCAACGACAGCGTTATTAATCCTCTGAGGTTCGAAGAACATCCGTAGGACGGCCGATAAAAACTTTTCATCTGAAAATAGAATGTCGAAATCACTCAGTTAGGTTAGGTTAGGTTAGAGCTCAGCAACAAGTATCTCTCAGTGTATTATACGGAAATGAGGAAAACCAGATACGGCGAATGTGATCTAAGTGCACTGTACTGTTCAGTCTATGAGAAACATTCAAAGTTAAACGTGATTTATGTTATTTCTGTAAATAATCAAAGTAGTTGGTTATGTTAGGTCTGAGTCTCTTTCCGCGAGTTAGGTTAGGTTTCAAGGAAAAATTACAGACGGCTAGAAATAAAATGCATATCAAAGAAACAAGAATGGAAAGTACACAAATATAACTTTATTCATATGTTTTACAAAAAAATTATTCAGATCTTCAAAAATGTAACATCGTAAATATATAATGCTGGTGCGAAAAATTACGAATTGACCATATTCTGACAGTATAGAAAAGTAAGGAAACAAGTAAGGAAAACTGACATAATACCTTGTAAACTTATTTATTTATAGCCCTGGAGACGAATATATAAGAAAGTTCGAAATTCAGCGCGATTTATGTCGTTTCTGTGACTGCGCAGTCATACGACGGATTATGTTAGGTACGTAATCCATCAAAAAAAATGACGAAACATCAGAACGTTAGATTGATCAATGGATTCAACTTTTCTGTAGTGCTGCGAATAATATTATATTTACGATACTACATATTTAATCACAGAAAAACGTCCTTAGGTTTAGATTAGGTGGATACACGTAGAGATAGAAATATATTTTCAAAGGATAAGAAGAAAATTTTGTCTACTATTCACAAAAAATACAGGGTGGTTGGTAACTGGTGGTACAAGCGGAAAGGGGGTGATTCTACGCGAAAAAAGAAGTCGAAAATATAGAATAAAAATTTTTCGTTCGAGGCTTTATTTTCGAGAAAATCGACTTTGAATTTTCGCTCGGTACGCGTGCACTTTATCACGTCTCGTTATAACGGATCTCACTGTAGATCGTTGTCTCGATGGAAAAATTAAAAAAAAAATTTTTTTATTCTATATTTTCGACTTCTTTTTTCGCGTAGAATCACCCCCTTTCCGCTTGTACCACCAGTTACCAATCACCCTGTATATTGTATTTTTATATCACCAAACTATGGGCAACATTTGTACTGTGAAAGAGTGAAATATGGACAGAAGATGGAAATACGTGGTCGTGATATAAAAATGAAATTTCCCAACTGTAAATGGGTGGCGGTAGTCTTCGAACGAAGTCGAGTATGCAATTAAACGAGACTGCAATCTGAATGAATTCAACGTATTCCATCCTCCAGAAAAAGACACATTGAAATTAGATTTAAATCACCAGGGACCATTTACATCACGACGTCCACGTCCCCTCGAGTTGAAATAAGAAGATGTTTCCCGTCTTTATTCAGACGCACTGAATAAGTCGTTTACCTTGTAAACAGAGCGCTCCTCGTTCCGGAGGAACAAACGGCTGAGCCTTAACAAAGTTAAAACGGGTGTTCGTTAATAATTCATGAACCGTTACCGTGGCACAGCGATTACTTAAATAAATACTGAATTAGATCGCAGCTTGGAAAATGTCAATGAAAATATCGTCAAATGTTTAAAGAGGTTTTACATATTTTACGATCGAAAACAGGCTTTTAATCGCCGTAAGCTATGAAACAATAGAACATAGAAACAACATAGAAACTTGCATTGAGAATTGTGCAAATAATGCTATAAAATCCACTAAATGCTAATTTCTCTGAAATCCTATGTATGCTCTTTTAAGAACAGAGACACCTAAATGGAAGATTGGAATAAGCAACATTAAAGCAAAGTATAGTGCAGCCATTAGCTGTACCAGGATTTAGAGTGTTATATAGCGACACGGTATGACTAAGGAATGAGGTAGCCGAGCCAGTAATAGGCGACTCCAAATAGTTGACATTGTTTGAGTTGGGAGGGAAGGATTCTGACCTAGTAATGATTGTTAATCCAAATTTACTGGTGATGAACTATAACGTTCCATAAGTAGATTACTGCTATGACCCCGCCAAATTAATTGGCCAATTCTATTAACATTCATTGGTATTACAGTATTAATTATGAAGCCAGTCATGTTGGTAACAAACCACTCTTTTGTACTCTAGACCAGAAATGATCATCCATTTACAGGGTCTCTTTCGTGAATCTTTAATACTTTGTCACAGTAAATGCCCAACTCTGAAAATGTTCACTGTCATCATAAAAACCTAAATATCCAGTTGCCCACATTTATGAAAAAATGAGAAAAACTGACTGACCCCATACTCAGTCTCTTATATATACAATATACCAATTATTGCAATATAAGATTATTCACATTCAGATCTCCCGTACAGTCAACACACAAATTATCACACTAATACACCAATTCTATTAAAATCCAAATTTCCAAAGATTCCAATGTTCCCTGTATATCATCACATAGAGAGCCTAGTCTACATCATATCCGCAATATGATTTGTGCACACATTAGGTGTAACTTCAAGTTAGACTTCAAGATATTGGCAAAGCTTCCAATCCTCCCAATTCCAAGTCAGGAATTACTTTCCACTTTCAATATTACCAGCATAAACACCAAGTATATCTTCAAATAGGAGCCCAAAATATTTTCAGAGTTTCCTACCGACCATTTCAAGCAAAGAATCACCTTCCATCCTCAGTATGGTCACTGCGTAGATCGCATCACGGTCTCTTGAAACCCATTAACGAGTCGTCTTCTTTGTTACAGACCAACAACCAAGGTCCACCGATGGCCATCTAGTAGCCGAATCTCCAGTGCACCACACTCTCATAAATACGCGTTGAAGCACCGATTCACCAGGTTGGAGGGAAACTGCTGCCACGTCGTCACGAAGCTGCAAAGAAACGTAACGGCCGTAGAGACATCGAGGGTGGCTCGCGTGCCAAGAAGATGCGACTGTTCGCGTGGCCTGGCAGCGTGACTCGCGGCGGACTCATAAACGATGAATTGGCACCCTGTATATTGTATTTTTATATCACCAAACTATGGGCAACATTTGTACTGTGAAAGAGTGAAATATGGACAGAAGATGGAAATACGTGGTCGTGATATAAAAATGAAATTTCCCAACTGTAAATGGGTGGCGGTAGTCTTCGAACGAAGTCGAGTATGCAATTAAACGAGACTGCAATCTGAATGAATTCAACGTATTCCATCCTCCAGAAAAAGACACATTGAAATTAGATTTAAATCACCAGGGACCATTTACATCACGACGTCCACGTCCCCTCGAGTTGAAATAAGAAGATGTTTCCCGTCTTTATTCAGACGCACTGAATAAGTCGTTTACCTTGTAAACAGAGCGCTCCTCGTTCCGGAGGAACAAACGGCTGAGCCTTAACAAAGTTAAAACGGGTGTTCGTTAATAATTCATGAACCGTTACCGTGGCACAGCGATTACTTAAATAAATACTGAATTAGATCGCAGCTTGGAAAATGTCAATGAAAATATCGTCAAATGTTTAAAGAGGTTTTACATATTTTACGATCGAAAACAGGCTTTTAATCGCCGTAAGCTATGAAACAATAGAACATAGAAACAACATAGAAACTTGCATTGAGAATTGTGCAAATAATGCTATAAAATCCACTAAATGCTAATTTCTCTGAAATCCTATGTATGCTCTTTTAAGAACAGAGACACCTAAATGGAAGATTGGAATAAGCAACATTAAAGCAAAGTATAGTGCAGCCATTAGCTGTACCAGGATTTAGAGTGTTATATAGCGACACGGTATGACTAAGGAATGAGGTAGCCGAGCCAGTAATAGGCGACTCCAAATAGTTGACATTGTTTGAGTTGGGAGGGAAGGATTCTGACCTAGTAATGATTGTTAATCCAAATTTACTGGTGATGAACTATAACGTTCCATAAGTAGATTACTGCTATGACCCCGCCAAATTAATTGGCCAATTCTATTAACATTCATTGGTATTACAGTATTAATTATGAAGCCAGTCATGTTGGTAACAAACCACTCTTTTGTACTCTAGACCAGAAATGATCATCCATTTACAGGGTCTCTTTCGTGAATCTTTAATACTTTGTCACAGTAAATGCCCAACTCTGAAAATGTTCACTGTCATCATAAAAACCTAAATATCCAGTTGCCCACATTTATGAAAAAATGAGAAAAACTGACTGACCCCATACTCAGTCTCTTATATATACAATATACCAATTATTGCAATATAAGATTATTCACATTCAGATCTCCCGTACAGTCAACACACAAATTATCACACTAATACACCAATTCTATTAAAATCCAAATTTCCAAAGATTCCAATGTTCCCTGTATATCATCACATAGAGAGCCTAGTCTACATCATATCCGCAATATGATTTGTGCACACATTAGGTGTAACTTCAAGTTAGACTTCAAGATATTGGCAAAGCTTCCAATCCTCCCAATTCCAAGTCAGGAATTACTTTCCACTTTCAATATTACCAGCATAAACACCAAGTATATCTTCAAATAGGAGCCCAAAATATTTTCAGAGTTTCCTACCGACCATTTCAAGCAAAGAATCACCTTCCATCCTCAGTATGGTCACTGCGTAGATCGCATCACGGTCTCTTGAAACCCATTAACGAGTCGTCTTCTTTGTTACAGACCAACAACCAAGGTCCACCGATGGCCATCTAGTAGCCGAATCTCCAGTGCACCACACTCTCATAAATACGCGTTGAAGCACCGATTCACCAGGTTGGAGGGAAACTGCTGCCACGTCGTCACGAAGCTGCAAAGAAACGTAACGGCCGTAGAGACATCGAGGGTGGCTCGCGTGCCAAGAAGATGCGACTGTTCGCGTGGCCTGGCAGCGTGACTCGCGGCGGACTCATAAACGATGAATTGGCGGGCAGCGATGTTGGCTCAGCCGAGAAACGCGGCAGCAGCAGGAGCAGCAGCGGAGGAGGCAGCAGCCACGGCAGCCAGCGAACCGGCAGATTGGACGCGCGATCGGGCGAACGGCACACCATCGGCTGGGCATGTACGTCATCTACCCGGCAGACGAGCTGTTGCGTATCTATGAGAACCCAGACCGTGATCCTAGTCCAGTGTTGACCGGAGATCGTCGGCCGAGTTGTCAGGTGACCGTGATCGCTGTCAACGAGAGAAACGACCGCCCACTAGCACCAAGTTGGCTGGATAGCTCGAAAAAGTGGAAAGAAAGGAGAAAGGAACGAGGACAGACACGTAGAAGAAAAGCGAGCCGTAACGAGGCTCCGCGTAGCCACGAGGTCGCGAAGGGTACTCGTCGCGAACAACACGCCAGGACTATGCAAAACAGTCGCGTTGGCGCCGGCGAGGATGCCGCCAATCCTTTCAAGGATCTCATACAACCGGGGCTCAGCGAGCCGCTCAAGCAGCACAATGCCGCCGCGCTCAAGCTCGTGCAGACCGGTGAGTGCTTTAGTTCTATCGCCAGTTTCTTCGCGTTTTTCTTCTTTTATGGGCTTTTAATGGGATCCTACAGAATTATGGCTCGTGGCTATTTGAGGACGCGAATACTGGATAGTTGGGGTAGATTGACTGTGAATTTATACGTTCAATTATGTAATTTTATGGGTAGATTATATTACCCATAGGGCCTACAGTGGTTTACGCGATACTTTATACGTTAGGAAATTTAACACAATTTGAAGGCAGGGTTTGCGTATATTTATAAAGAATTTCCCCTAAAGAACATTGTTCATCCTTAGCATTTATCAAATAATTTTATTACGCCTTTCACTATGAAAACAGAATAAAAAGTTTCTTCAGCCTGGTCGATAGCTCAGCCTAGGATTTCCATTAGTAGAACGAAGTACTGAAAAGGTAGTAAACAATTTTTAAAGTTTAACATTATAGTTGCGAATTATATAGTTGGAATATATACTTAGGATTGGATAAATTACCTTTATTTTGGAGATAATTCTGTTTAAAATTAAAGACGTTTCTACCATAACTCTAATATAATCCTATTCAGTTCCAATATAACATAAGTTCGAATTTTTACTGGTTAAGCATAATCATTTTCTGCAATTCTCGTGTGGGACTTGGTTATTTTCTCTGATCGCTACGTGATAAGAATACAAAAGAGGTAGATTGCGTATCGTGAATTATTAATATCGAGGAAAATGTATTCGCCAGGAGAAATGTATTCGCCGGTATATATATATGCATCCGAACTTGCTTCAAGGCCAGCATTAGTACATTAGTATATTGTATAAGTATAATAGCCAATAATGAATAATAATACTTACGACCCTGATCTTAATTTCTTCCTAACCTCAATTCATTCTGACGCCAAATTTGGAATTATTACTTTTGATCCTTCGTACGATTTTATTGTAACGAAGTAAGTATAGAGAGGTTAATTAAAGTTTCGGAAGTTAATTAGACCTAATGAAATTACATGTGATATGTTTACAATGGATTACAAATGAAAATAATGGATTATGTATTCAGCCACTGCAGACGTGCACTATACGAGAATGCGCTTTCTTCTTGGACTATTCTGTTGTTTCGTAATTTAGAATATTAGGTTCCGTAGTCGAGCTCGTGACACGAAATACTTCTCAACGATATTCACAGAAGTAATTTACCTGTACCGCAATGTTTCCTTACTTGAACATGTATTCATAATTTTGCTACACGGTACTTAACCTCAAAGAGAAATACCAAAGTCTTTTTCATTTTAAGGTTGGAAAGTAGCTGCTTTATAAATTCGAAAATATTGATTCGGATTTTAATATAGTCTCTGTCCGTAATTATTTATGCTACAGATAGCACCATTATTGTAAGCCAAAGTTGTATAAAAAGATAATAATAGTAACTTTTATTTACGTTTGATAATTTATTCTAGGCAGAATTCTCCTAAAGTTTCCCTGGATAAAATTTCAATTAGTCCTAGTTGCTTTAGCCAAGCTTATAAATAAAATTCTTTCATAGAATTCTCCAGGGCACAAATCCAACCACCCTAGTTACTTTAATCAAACTCAATTAGTAAACATATTACTAAAACAAAATAACTACGTTTAGCAAATTGTCTCTACCAAGTAACAAACTTAACCCTCTCCTTGTGTTATAAAACTGTCATATAAGCATTCCATTATCTTGTTATTCAAACGTGAGTAACACGATTACACGTGCCACGATCAAAGGTCCCCCATATACTCGTGTACACAGCTTTCCGTGTTCGAAGCTATTTTCCTTCGTATTTAGTAGTATAACAGAGTTGTACGTTTAGGACTTGACATTGTTCGTTATGGCATAGTCGTGCTAGGGAGTAATGCACCATAGACCCCATGATACGTATCTAGATTTCATGCTTAGAGATCGTAAGTCACCTTAGAGTTGTCCTAAACAGGTCTTTTCGGAGGTGGATTGCCTGTACAAAATGAGGGAGGGCTAATTTCCAAGCATAAACTTATAATTTTAGCTAACTCCCTAAATTTATGACCAATTTACCAAATCTTTTCGTGCTTTCGTAATTTCTTTCCAGCATTCTTCCTTTTCCCTAGACTCGAAGCAAAAATAAGCTTGACTAATTCCCTATCAAATCTTGATTCATAACCTACCAAATCTTTTTCCGATTTTTCAATTTCCTCGGTATTACTTCTCGGAATAAATTAAATATGATTAATTCACAATCGATAATTTGCTTGGTCGTTATTTCATTGCCAGAATGCTTTCAATCATTAAATATAGCGTAATGTTTTGTGCGATCAGTGTTGCCAAAATTGTGGCATGATCGACGACAGCCATTTTAACTACCGCTAGAAATAAAAGATTCTGCGATATCAACGAGATAGACGGAAATCTTAACCGGAAAGGCAG